TTTTTTTTTTTTAAGTTTCGTTGCAAAACGGATAAATGTATTCCATTCTGGTGGAAATGTGACACGGTGGATGACTGTGGCGATGGCTCTGACGAACCTGCTGACTGCCGTAAGTACCTCGGCAGATGTTAGATTTAGAGCTCTTTATGTCCAAGATCCTACAAATGTAAGTTGGCTCTTCAAAAGAATTCTTCTGGTCCATTTCCCAAAGAGAAATGGAAAAGATCTTCTATGTAATCAAAATACATGACAAAACTATTTGCAAAGCCTAATGTGTCCCTCTGATTATATTCAGAATGACATCATCACCAATTCTGAACACTCTCCATTTGTCTTCCCTGTAGAACGACTACATCATGCCATGTAGCGATCAGCACAGTAATGATCAGCATGGTTTTTACTTTTCAAGTCCAGCTGGAAACAAAAGTGGGCAAGTAATTAAAATGCCACTCAAGGACTGGAATCTTTCCTTTAAAGGGATGCAATATGTCAACATTTCTGTCAGTTTTATCAATTTGAAAGTTCTTCAAAAGTCCATTTTTGCTGTCTAAGTCATTACTCTGCTGACACGCAGCCTAGTATGCTGCAGGCATCACTCCACGTCTAGACTTCTAACAGTGATTGACATGGCGAAGGGCTACTTCTTTTAACTATCCTTGGCAACTTTGGTGTTAATGGACAATCGGCAGACTTTTACTTGATAGCCTTCTACAGGTCAGTCCATAGGTCACTCCAATACCATCCTGTCAAGCTGAGGATGCTTGTAGTCAATCAGTATAATTCCCTCAACATCCCAGCGGTGGCTGCCATGATTTGGCCTTGACAGTGGAGTTCACTAAAGATCATTAGGCTTTTATTAAAGATGTGCAGTACCATGTCTTGGCAGAAGGTAGCCACTTTCTACTATCTAACTGTCTACTACTGAATTGCAAAGTGATTTTAAACGTAGGGTGTTCAGATAGTTATCTAGATGAACTGTGTTCCTGATTCTTGGGTTACGACCAGGTGCATCAACCATTACGTTGTTTATTTGGATGCTTGAAAGCAGGACCTAATAAGGACAAAACTCATGAAAGTCTTCATTTTCCTATTTTTTTCTGAATTTCTAAATGATCTGTTACTCCTTGAATTACTTTTTTAAGCTATAGTTTTGTTTACACTATAATTAGCGGTATATAAAGAATAATGCCTGTGTCTCCTAGGTATACTATTAAAACTGAAATCTTATGTATTTAAAACAATTGTATGGTTGAATTAAGAATGAATTTGGAAAGCAATTAGTAATTAGTAAGGTAACTTTATTGAGAATGACTGAGTCAGAGAAAAAATAATTGTACTACAATTTAATGCACACCTTATTTCAACATAACTCTTCTATGTTCTAGGAATCAAACAATTCAGTTTATTAGCTTTATTGTGATATCTATTTTACCACAGTGGTCTAGAACCAAGCCTGCAACATCACCAAGCCATGCCCACATAAGAAGGCTGCAGCCATTAAAATAGGTTTTCATGATTTTTAAAGCAAACTCACTGATTTTTAAAGACTGCTTATCTATCTACAGAATATGAAACGATTGACTATTACTTAAGTGTCTTTTGATGGGGAAGAAAGCATCCAGTATCTAAGAGCATCTCTAGAATTCTAATCCTGATGAAATATTGCTGTCTACGTATTTGTGGCATGATGTTTGTGTTCTCTTAAAGAAATGATGCTTTCCTTGGAGTTCATGGGTTAATAGCACTGGACACCTTTGACATTGACTTTTTTATTTTGAAACATTTTGAGGTTGGAAAATGGTATCCATGAGTCAGTCTGCAGAATGTTTAGAATTCCTGTGTGTGTGTGTGTGTGTGTGTGTGTGTGCTGTGAATGTTGTTTCCAGATCCAAGCTGAGTTGTGTGTGTGTGTTTATGTTTATGTTATAGAATTGAAAATAAATCACTTCCATGGTTGTTTTTTTATTATCTCTCCTACTTCTATGGAAATAAGTCATGTAAAGGGGCCTTCAAAACAGCATGGAAAATCATTATCTGTTCATTCCCTTCCCCCCCAAAAAAAACCTTCTGACACCCCTCATATTAAAATAATTTTTAAAAAATCAGTTATAAATTTATAATTAATATTATGGCTTTTAGAGCATAATTTATTTTCTAAAATGTTCCTTATTAAAAACCGATCACTGATTTGAAGTACTAATCGGCAGAACTGTAATCTAATATGTGGTAATGACCAACATACACTGAGATCACCGGTCCCAAACAGTATATTTGTGTGAGGGCTGAGAACCCTCTCTGGGTTTGGGTGCCAGCACTGGCACTGAAGAGTCACCGCCTTGGGTGGATTACTTATTGC